CCTAAACAGCATTCGAACGAGTGTATCACGTCCCATTGTGCCTAACAATTTACATGCATATGTAGACAAATACATAAGAAGCAATCGTGACAAGTAATTACGAATGGATACAGGAACAAATGACCTTTAACAGATTAATATATGCAAGTGACAAACATCCTTCTTCGTTGATCGTAAAACATATAAGAAATTAGTCATAAGATTGATATGAAGACAGCCTTTACAGTACTGTACAGATATGGTCAGGGACGAATACTTGGAATCACTTGTTATCCATAAATTCAAACCCCTTCTATGTATTCAGAAACTATTTGTACTTACACTAAATCTACCCTGGTAGTATTAAGTGATTTAACCTTTTATTTTCTTCCGCTCTTGTTTTTCTTCTGCCTTTGTTATCTTTCTTGATTTTAATCTCACTGGCTTAATTAACCTTTCTAAGTTCTATATAAATTACTTGACAAGTTCATACGTCATCAGACTGTTCGAAATGTATGGCGCTAATATATCACATGTTTCAGATAATTTCCGTCTTATTAAGCTGCTAAAAAATGTAGCGAGGGGACTAGTTGTTTCTAGGTGGTAAAAATAATAATGACAGCATTAATAATAATAATAATAATGTAATATCCCATCGTTAATTGGACTGAATTGATTGGTCTCGATTGGCATCCGCGCAGGAGCCCATATGCCAATATAGAAACCGATCAATTCGGCCCCAACAACGACGGGGCAGTACGTGTAACAACATTAAAACGAAATCCATCACACATGAAGTGGCTATCGTGACTCAGTAGCCTAGTGGATAACACTCTGGAGTTTGAAGCGACCGGTCCCGTTTGCAAGTCTTAGCGGGGAAACATCGCTCACTGAGAACGAGGTATATCCAGCCGGGGAGTCCCAAATAGGACGAAACGCACGTCCTGGATTCCGCTCTTAGCCATTATCAATCACTGGTAGAAAAAATTATTATTATCTATTTGTAACCTCACCTGGTTAACAAGTTCACTAGTTACTAGGCGGTCCTGACCCCGGGTAAAGAGGGAAGGTTGGGCATAGGGCTAGCAACCCTACCCCCTAAAACAAATCCAATCGCTAAACAAACTTCAGAGCACAAACAAAATATCGAAAATAAAAACAAAATTATTCCTCGCTAGAATCGGAGAGGCGAAATGATGCCGGTTGGTGGAAGCCTTCAGGAAGCCAATTGGCCGATGTGCCCCCTCTCTCTCGATGAAAGCGTAAGTAAGCACAGGGACAAAATATTTGAAGCTGGTAGGCAAGGCTGCCCAGATTGAGAAGGTATATCACTGAAGTGCTACGAATCTGCGAAAGCAGATGGAATGGAAGTGGACTCTCAAAACTGTCAACTGGAAAGTACATAATCTACTCCGATATTGCCACCCAGAAGACAACCACGAGCACATCGAGTTTTGAAGTGGCTATCATGTTGTCACCAACAGCATCGAAGGCTCTCCCTCATGCAGTGGGAACGAAACTCCTCCAGGATCAGGATCATGGTAGCGAGAGTCAAATCCAAAGGAAGGAAAGTCACAATCACACAATGCTATGCTATGCACCCACAAATAATGCAGAGGAAGAGAAGAAGGAGGAATTCTACAGACAACTGAAATCAACACTGACAAGACTCTACCCCAGATAGCGACATCAATGCCAAACTCGCAGCGGACAACACGAGAAGAAAACTAACCGTGGGTCGAGAAGTTCTAGGCGAAATGAACGAGAATGGAGAATTGTTTGCAGAATTATGTGCATTCAACGATTTGGCGATTGGAGGCCAGGCGCTGTGTTCAATCAAGCACAAGGATATCCACAAGGCAGCGACATGGATTTCAACAGACAACAGGACACACTACAAATACGATCAACTTCATCTCAATCTCAAGAAAGCAGAGACACCGCCCACCTGACACAAGGTCAAGAAAAGGAGCAGATGTAGGTTCACACCACTCACCCACTATCTAGTGCAAGGAACATGCCTTCCAAATCAAGTTGAAAGCCTTCAAGGATGCTGGTGATAGACCACAGATCAAGTTGAACACCCGGAACAGAAGCTGAAGGACGTAACTACAAAGAAAATCTTCACGTGAGCCAGGCATCAAGACAAAGTGGGAGATATCGAGCAACATCCCTGAAGAAACCTGTGTGGATGAACACTGGAAGTCTTTGAAAGCTATATGGAAAGAGACCTGCACAAGCGTATTAGGAAGGAAGAAGAAAGAAGATAAGGAATGGATCTCGACAGACACATGAAAGCTGATAGAGCAGGGAGAGGATGATGGTGATGGTGATGGTGAAGCAGAAGATAAACCAGTGCAGTGCAAGGATGAACGACGGAAGAGGAAGTGAGTACAATGTATAAAACACTGCAGTGGACAAAGAAGTGAAGAAGAGTGCACGTAAGGACAAAATACACTTCTACGACACACTGACAAGTGAAGCAGGATGGGCTGAAGGCTGCTGGTAAGAGAGACAGAGACCTGACAACATTGTATCAAATAACCAGGTCACTATCTGAGAGGGAAGAGATCAACGCAGATGAAACCAATGAAAGATCATGAAGGAAATCTAATTATCAAAGAAGAGCAACAAAGGAAACGATGAGCTGACCACTTCGAAAAGCCCTTGAATCGACCACCACCCGCACTTCGTCCAGAAATGCCACCTGCAGTCACAGAAATACCAGTGAACACAAATCCCCCAACAAAAGCAGAAGTGAAGTCTTGAACCCCATAAAGTTTCTGAAAAGCGGCAAAGCAGCGGGACTAGATGGAATTCCTCCAGAAGCATTGAAAACAGACACAGCGACAACTGTGGACATGCTCACACCATTTTTGCAGAAGGTTTGTAAGGAAGGGACTCAGGGAAGGTACCTGTTGGTGGATTGAGAGAAGGGTTACCTTGTCAAACTGCCAGAGAAGGGCGACCTAAGTCTTTGCAGGGACTGGCGCGGAATCATGCTCCACTCCTGTCCACACTAAACAAAATATCAAGCTGCATCATCCTGGAGAGACTAAAGGATGCGCTCGATTCAAAACTATGACCGGAACAGGCCGGCTGGATTCAGGAAGTAAAAATCATGTGCTGACCAAATTGCAACGCTTCGCATCATCATAGCATCAACATAGCATAGAATGGCAGTCAACTTCATCGACTTCGAAAAGGCCTTTGACAGCGTCGACCGACAAGTAATTTGGCAATCGCTTCAACACTACGGAATACCACAAACCTTTATCAACCTCGTTCAACAACTATATGAAGACGCCATATGACATGTAATTCACAATGGGAAACTCAGTGATGACTTTGAAGTGAAGTGGAGACAGGAGTAAAACAAGGCTGCCTAATATCACAGATCGTCTTCCTGATTGTAGTGGACTGGATCATGCAACAAACAGTGAGGAGCTGTGAGAAGAGGGGTATACGCAGGCTGGATCAGGGAAAAGATCCTAGAAGACTTAGATTTCGCCCATGACTTGTGTCTAATGTCACACAAACTTGAAGATCTATAGGTGAAAACTAACAAGTCGATAGAAGAGGCAGGCAGGGAAGGAAGATGGGACTTCAAGTGAACGTAGAGAAGACAGAGATGATGAAGATGCCCAACCAACAAAGACAACAACAACAACAAGCTTCAATCACCATTAACAGGAGGAACTTAAAGAAAGTAGCCTCTTTTACCTATCTAGGCAAGGCAGCATCGTTTCAACTACAGGCGGCGGCACAAACGAGGACATCAAAGTCAGCCAGGATCGGAAAATCAAGACAGGCGTTCATCAGCCTGAAACCAGTGTGGCGATCTACTGCACTCAGCACAAAGAACAGGATGTGGATTTTCAATACCAATTCAGTCAAGTCAGTGCTCCTGTATGGTTCAGAGACTTGGTGGGTTACGAAAGGGATTTCCAACAAACTACAGATATTCATCAACAACTGCCTACGCTGGCCCGTTACTGAAGATCAGATGGCCAGAATAATGAGAATAAGCAACAAGGAACTCTGGCTGGCAACGAACCAACCAAGAACTTATCGCTCAATAGATATGCATAAGGAAGTGTAGATGGATTGGGCATACACTGAGAAGGCCGACTGGGAACAGTATGCTGCAGGCGAGGCACTCGAGTGGAGCCACGATGGGAAGCAACGAGTTGGGCGTCCGAGGTGAGGGTGACATGAAGGAGATTGTGTGAGGAAGAAATGAGAGCTTGTGGGCTGTCGTTGAACGAGGTTCAAAAGATTTGAGAGAACAGAATGCACTGGAGATGTGCTACTGAAGTCCTATGTTCCATTAGGAACGTAAGAGACAAATAATAATAATTATCTATTTGTAAGTCTGCCTCCTTGTTTGCAGTGATAAATTAATCTACATGAACTCATATGTTTCGCTACGGAAATGTTGAGGTGGAAAAAACTAGCCGTATTGCTTCCTCCTGCTTACAAATGCGAAATCATCAAACTCATGCACCTGAATTACAAATATTCTATACCAACCCAAAATGAGAAATGGTGTGCACAGAGCACTTTTCTACTGTCTTCCTGGTCTCTAACTGTCATAACCAGTGTCAACTTCAATAACAAAACAAGTGAGCAAAGCAGACAAAAAAACAACACCAAGTGAACAACAGTACTTGTTGAATAACCAAATAAACAAGTGTTTATTATTTGTATTTTAATACTTGTTTATTTTATTATTTGTTCTAATATACTACGCTAGGATTACACAAGTAAAAATAAACCTTATACAAGGAATCATACTAACTCGGTGCCCATCCAGTCCATTGTTGGTCAAGAAACCTTCAGTACTTCTTTACGATAATTAGAGAATATATAATATTCAGGAAGTTGTCAAACTGTGACCACTACTCTCAGGTTTCTAACTGGTAGTCATTCGATAAATAAACTTTTAACCTCTACATAAAAATCACCTAACAGTATATGATGAAAAGCAGTAGCAATACACACCAAAGTGTGTAACTTACACTTGTTGTTCTTGATAAATTCGTCGGTCGTGTAGATGCAGCCAGTGATCGCATTGAATTATGTCTGCCAATATTGCCTACTGGTCTCTCTGAAAAAGTGTGATTAGAATCAGTCCCAATATTTGTTGAGTTGTCACCAACATTAGACCTTAGTCCACCTAAATCTCGAAGTGGAGTTTTATTCACAGTTCCAATCGCTTGATTGTTCTCATCGACACCACGCCTAACATGATTCGATGGACTAAGGAATATAGAATCATTGATATTGCTAGTGTTTGTCTGTTTACAAAATAGACCAGACGTTTCTCCATTCATGACTTGCTGTCAAGGAGAAAGAAAATAAATAACATAACCTAGCAATGACTATGCAGAATAACATGAAACAATTACCATTTATGAAGTCAGCAAATAAACTGTTAACTTGGAAACAACAGGTCCATCAACCAGTTGTATGAACTGAAATACACCAACTTCTCAGCTCGACATGCACTTTATGTAGGAGAATATACTTAAGAAAGACAAATTCCCACAAAGTAACAAGCCAACAACCGATTATAATAAAATTCTCCCCGACACCAGCTTAAATACAACTGGTCTGAATACCTCAACTTGTCAAGAAGAATCTTTACCTGTACATGAACGATTAGCCTAGTTCTAAAGGAAAAGAAGTAGACCAAGTCCATTTGGATCATTATCATTAGGCTGAAGCAGTAAAGTATTCTATAGTCTCATGTACACTGATATTTATTTAGATTACTGAGTATGAGGGAATCCTGCTGCTTTAAATATTCACTTAATATATTTAAAGAATGAACATGAAAGATTAGCAGAAACGCTCTTAACATAATCAACAATTCAATTTTATTGAAATGTGTTCTAATAGAATCCCATCTAAACACGCTGAGATCATACTGAAACTTAATTATGTAATGATTAAATGAGACTCAGCGCTCAAATTCTTTCAGGATGTATGTAACAACTATGAACTGGACGTTTATAATTCATCACTGAACTGCCATCAGTTAGAGGAACATTAGAAATCTGGGAACACTGGACAGCTGTTTCGTCCCAGTATGGGATTCCTCAGGTTTCCCAGATTTCCAATTTTCCTCCAACTAATGTCAGTCCATGACGACTTTCAACATGAAATCAAATAATAAATCTCCACAAACCACCCAGATTGAATAATTATATTGCTCATTAGTGACTAGCTTCGACGGGTGATTCCTGAAGTTCCAACGATAAGTCATGACCAATGGAGTCAACCAAGTCGAACATGACGATAATTACTCAAAGATGATATCAGATGTGGGTCACGCTGTATCGTGAATTGATAGAAGTAGGGAATGTAGATAGTTGGGTTCTGACTCAGTGGTTCAACAGTAATGTGCTGGCCATGAAACCTGAAAGTCCTGGGTTCGATCCCTGACGAGGTCGCGGGTGCGCACTGTTGAGGAGTCCCATACTAGGACGAAACGAATGTCCACTCCCCTCAGGTTCCCAATGTTCCTCCAACTGGTGTCAGTCTATGATGAAATCCAATCTGAAATCAGTTGGTAAGTCGCCACAAACCTCCGGATTGAATTCATAATTCAACTTTAGTCTGCGTAAATCTTTGAAGGGAGTTTTACTCGGCTTCTCAATTGTCTTGCTCTTGTTATATGCAGTAGATAAGCAAATATGCTTTAGTATGACACGTTGCATGACATATCCACTTTCATCCGACCGATTTTTACATAATAACATGAAACTGATATGCTGGATTTCAAAGAAGTTAGCTTTATAATCACCATGATCCATTCAGTAAAAGAATATAATACTATCAACTATTTTACTACTATATATGCTTAAGTAAAGGTAAAATCATAGTAAGTTTTGTGGAATATTGAGGACAGGATACTTCATTTTTCACAGGGTTATTATTGATAATGAAAATTACTTATTTGTGTTTCCCATATAGTGAAAAGTGACAGAATCCGTATAGTTTAATAACTATGGGGTTACAGTTCAAATAACTAATCATCATCATCATTATCAACATAGGAACAGGCATTACTGCGTAACGGTCCGAGTTGCCACACCTCATATCAGCACATCAAGTAAAAAGGTAGTGAGGTGAAGGATGAGAGAATGCAGTCAAAAGAAATATAAAGTACGAGAAGAAAGGAAAGAGGAGTGACAAAATGGTGAGATTCGGTATAGCGTTGTTAAGATGAGGATAATGTGTGTATATATCTGCGCCACTCACATCGGTTCTGAGTCACATCACCTAGGGTCTCCAACCACTGGTTCCCCTTGTCCCGCGGACCCCAACCACCTAGTTTGCATCGTCCTACATGTCTTAAACCAACAGTCAGAGACTTCATACATTGGTGCCATGTTTTAGTCTGGCCACCTCGGGCCTTTTTCCAGCCTGGACCCACCTCAGCCAACATTGTGTGACGAGGCAATCGGTGACTAGGCATACGTAGTACGTGTCCCAACCATCTCAGTCGATGAAGGTTCACAACCTCGTCAACTGACTTACCTCTTCTCCCCAAAACTCTACACCTGACTTCTGCATTACTCACATGGTGACACCAGGGAATACCTCCTATACTACGAAGGCAACGGTGGTCAAACACCTGAAGCCTTCTTATATCTTCCACTTTCAATGGCCATGTTTCACAGCCATACAGTAGAACAGAGCGGACTGCTGTGCAGTATACACGACCCTTAACAGACAAACGAATATCACGGCGGCGCCATAGGTGGCGCAAATTGGCAAAAGCCAATCGAGCCTTTTGTATCCGTGCAGAAATCTCATCGGCAACTAACCCACCGGGGTTGATCCTACTTCCCAGGTAAGTGAAGTGATCAACACACTCAACCACTTCACTCTCTATTGTTAGCCGCGGTACCGCTGAAGACCAGTCCTGGAGCAAAAATTTGCATTTGGGTGGTGAAAATCGCATCCCAAACATTCTCAAATTCCCACTCAAAGTGTTCAGAAGACTCTGCATCTTGTCAGCGTCTTCACCTAACAGGACTATGTCAAATAACTAATACTTTAACCACTTGTTGTTATAACATTTTTGGTCTATAGATTACAGTGTTTCTGTCGACAAATTTATTAGTAATTGGAGCTTAAAATAACAGATATAACTGTGCCTTGAGCGTGAGATAACAAACAGTAATGAAGGCTGTATACTCAGTATTCGATGAGATTTATGAGAAGGCATGACCTCAAGGATGGTGATCCATATGGTATGTTTATTTGTGTGTGATTGCGTAGTTAGTCTATGTGAATAAAACTTGACCAGAGGACTGACTTGGGTTATAGATATGGTTTGGTGTACGTAGTTTGTTAACCCAAATGATATTATAGATGAAACAGAAGAACACCGAGTTGTTGGTGGCGATCATCACACATCACGTACGGTCGACTAAGAAAGCGCCTTAGGTTGAAAGCGATCACAAAATTGACTGAAAACATTTCATCGCATAGCCTAAATTTTCTTTTGCTTACTTACCGGATCAGTACACACAGATACACCGACCATTATATTATCACCAAATACTTTGCCATTTTTATTCAAAGCACAACGAGCTTGCATCCTGTTCTGATATTTGATATGCATCCAGTTACCACTATTCGTAATCTAAAATAATATTATACAATGTAAATTTGAGGTTACAATAGTAAAACAAGTTCAATGAAACAGAAAATAAAACAGTTATGTAACTCGATATGGTAACTCATAAATGGATTATAAATCATTCCTGTTATACAACTGCTGACGACATTATCCGTCCGTCCAAGTCTATAGGTTATATCACGACGGACAGATTACATAACTCATCCCAGTTATGTATTATGAAGGATATATAACAGACACGACCGATGATATGGCCAATATGAGTGTTTCAGATGTTCAACAACAGTTTCGAATTTCTCTAAACGCCTACCTCTAAATATAGTGTAGAATGTAAAACAATACTATTACAGCAAAATGATATGAATTCAATTCATTTCTCGATTGGGTGGTTTGTGAGGAAATCGACTGATTATAAAGTCTAAATCATTTGAATACTGGATCATAACTAAAACCTCATGTCTAGTGATGGACACTTTATCATCTGAACACTGAGTTGACATCCAATAGTTCATACTTTACAGAATCTATTAATCCATAGCATCTTGAGAATAACATCCAATTCCGTCGGCTAGAATTCATCCACTTTTCAGCGACTTAGTGTATTTTTATTAAGGCAACTATTACATATTTTGGTAATAACGGGAATGAACGCAATGAAACATGAGTTCATACAGAACTGCTTGAGTTACTGTTCTTTTTACCATCCTTGTATAAGGATAACACATCTGTCCTATTTCCCAATAATTACAATTAGGAATATGGCTTACAGATCTAAGCACAATAACTCTAGTCCAAATCCATAAATTTAGAAATGGTTAACCGTATAGTAACGAAAGTCCTCATATATAAATAAAATATTGTGTTCCTTTGTATCATTTACTTTACAATAGAAGCCATAAAATACAAAAAAGACCAGTGGCAGCAATGACGCTTTATCAGTAAATGTGTGTAAATATGGAAAACAAAAATGCCTCCTTGAAAGTAAACAAATATCTCAAGGTACAAAATGGTACACTGCAGCAGAATGCAAAGAAGAAGTGGACAAAAGACGAAGCATATAAAAGCAATCAAAACTACATAACAGAGGAGAGAATCTAGCGTTGAAAGTCAACGAAAATATGCAAGACTCCGAAGATAATAGAGCGAATACATCTGCACCATTGTGACTAGTGTGGAATCATATAATTAAAAGTCTCCAACCACTGGTTTCCTAAACTGCTCAAGTACCCTAATCTCTTGAACGGCCTACATTTCCCCATTCACTCGAACAACCAAATGGAGACTTCATGACTGGATGACACTTCCTTGTTCTGAGCACCCCTGCTTAGAGATTTGCTTTAAAATATGCATAGTACCCCATAGTGTTATAACTTCTATTCAGTTCACTCGTGTAAATTTCTTTCTCCTTCCAATCTCCATGTATTCGCATCTGCGAAATCAGGTCAGTAAGAGATTACACCAAACTCTAGAAGTATGGACAACTGGCCACCGATGCAGCATTTTGATTCAAAGTGACGACTGGGCACACCGATTCAGCCACTCGATATGGTCACTGGTACAATTGACGTAGGGTACTAGTGCATTTACAAACTGAGGTGTAAGTGTAATGCAACCCAGCAGCTACGTGCAGACTCATACACTGGTCAACAAGCCATATCTATTGTTTGAGAGTCTGCAAAGTTTCCAAGCCTCCGTAAGTGTAATGAGGCTTGAATGCGTGACTCACTGGTCGGAAGTCAGATGTCTGTCTAGACCATGTATCTCAGCTGAATCCTCACTTTCATACGTTATACGTGTCCAGGTTGCCAACAGGAAGCCAGATATATCAATTCGGAACTCCTCTAAGGAATTCCCGCCTCTTCTTCCATTTCTCAAATTTGAGTCCAAGTAATTAAACACTTCAGTTATACCTGCTACAGTCCAGCTGCATAGTTTTATTTAAAATATTTAAGCTCATTGGCAAGATGTGCTGAAAATTCCAAGAGAAAGACTCTCAAGAATAACAACGAAATAATAATCATGCAACGAACAAACCATACTTACCACATGTTTTTCAATTGTACCGAGTTGAGCAAATTGATTAAGAATGAAAGCTGCACGAGGCGGAGGGAACCTAGAATGATAGATTAGTGACAAAGAATACAAGAAACCTAGCGGAATCTCACTTAATGATCGATAAAGCTATAAGTAGATTAGTGCTACGAAGGACGCTTTTATTTTCATACGTATTCGGATATCATACCAGCAAAGTGAGTGGTTAACGTTAATGCTCAGGTACCAAGTAATAGGATACCCCCATCGTAGGACGGTTCATGATACTATTTGAGCGTATTGGCCGATCGGGGCTCTCCAACTGATCTTTGAGTGGCTAACTAGGTATTAGAATAAACTGACATAGTAAGTGCGGCTCATGGGCCAGTGTAAGGGCTTGTGGTGAGCCACTGACATTTGTGCACTTGCCCTGCTCAGTGAATGAATTTGATTATTCTTGTAGACTATGAGCGGCCACCCTGTAAGATCCATTGGACCTGAAAGTCGGAAAATCATACATTTCTCTACAGCACAACGTTTTCGAAAAAAAGACATCTTGGTTTTGGTGGGATCCTTTCTGTATGCTTTTTTCAGGTGAGATTAGACATCTGGTGAAATGATAATGTACACTGCTTCGTGATTGATAAAAGCCAATCTTATCTTATGAGATCCTTTCCACTGGTCAGTCGTTTGCATCTTGTAACACCTTGACGTACATAGAATAGCAAAGGTTCTAGTTCGACCTAATCCTGAAAAATGTGGAAGTGTGGCACACTGGCTTTTGCATTTAATTATCCAACCGTGATTCTTGGATTGAAGTTTATTTGGATTTGGGCGATCGGGTATAACCATAATCCCTAACAGACAGATTGAAAAATCCACGTAGAATCTCGGACAGAAGCGCATCGACGCAAGTTGCCACATTCGACAACATCGTGCAATCCATCCAAAACAACATAGGACCAGGTATTACTGCGTAACGGTCCAAGTTGCCACAGCTCCTATCAGTACATTCAGTAAAAGCGTAGTGAGGTGGAAGGTTAAGAAAAGAAAATTCAGTCAAAGGAAATATAAATTACTAAAAGAGAGAAAGGAGGAATGAGAAAATGGTGAGATTCGGTATAGCGTTGTTAAGATGAAGATAATGTATGTGTACATCTGCACCATTGACATCGGTTCTGAGTCACATCATCTAGAGTCCCCAACCACTGGTTCCTCTTGTCTCACAGACCCCAACCACCCAGTCTGCATCGCTCCACATGGCTTAAACCAACAATCAAAGACTTCATACATTGGTGCCATGTTTTAGTCTGGCCACCTCGGGCCATTCCCCAGTCTGAACATACTTCGGCCAACATTGTGTGACGACGCGATCGGCGACTAGGCACACATAACACGTGTCCCAACCACAACCTCGTCAACTGACTTATCTCTTCTCCCTAAAACTCTACACCTGACTTCTGTGTTACTCACATGGTGACACCACGGAATTCAGTCTATACTACGAAGACAACCGTGGTCAAACACCTGAAGCCTTCTCATGTCTTCCACTCTCAATGGCCATGTTTCACAGCCAAGCGGTAGAACAGAACAGACTGCAGTACAAGTGCAGTACACGCGACCCTTAATAGAAAATCGGATATCACGGCGGTGCCGTAAGTTGGCAAAATCCAACTGAGTCTTTTGTATCCGTGCAGAGATTTTGTTGCCCACTGAGCCAGCAATCAGGGCTGATCCTACTTCCCAGGTAAGTGTAGTGGTCGACACACTCAACCACTACACTATTGTTAGCCGCGGTGGGGCACCATTGAAGACCAATCCTGGAGCAACAATTTCCATTTGGGTGGTGAGAAACGCATCCCAAACATTCTCAAATTGCCAGACAAAGCGTTCAGAAGACTCTGCATCTTGTCAGCGTCTTCACCTAACAAAACTATGTCGTCTGCGTATTCTAGGTCTAACGAAAATTCTGCTGCGACTAGGTCAACCTATGTGCAATCAGGCGACGAGAGGGAAACCTCCATAAGAATATCTATGATAAAATTGAATAAGAATGGAGAGAGTGGGCAGTCTTGACAGACACCACTGGATGAGCATAGCTCCATGGACATCTCACCATAGGCTCTAACATGCCCACAAGTGTTCGAGTAGACAGCCTTCAATAAGGTGATGTATTTACTCGGCACGTCTTTCAGTGACAGACATTGCCATAAGACTTCTCGATCAAAGGAGTCGAATAACACTCTCAGGTCGAGAAATACAGCTATTGTCGGGCTGTCTATAAGCGTGCCTATGTTCCAGGATTTGGCGCAGTGTGAATATTTAATCGATATACACGCGACCAGGTCTAAAGCCTTCCTGGTTTTCTCGGGATTGTTGTTCCCAAGCTCCACTCAGGTGTCGGAGAATTATAGGACCTGGGATCTTGGACACTATATTCGTCAGGTTGACTCCTCTGTGGTTATCACAAGAGGACTTCTCGCCTTTCTTGAAGACTGGGATAATCAGTGATTCAGACCAGTTAGAGGGGATCGTACTTAATTCCCATATACTGGTTAACACTTCCGTTAACCTAAGAGCACCTTACCACTACCCTTGTATACCTCTGGAGTTAGTCCGTTTGGTCCTGTCGCCCTTCCTTGTTTCAGGTTACCTACCGCTTTCTCAACTTCTCCTAGTGTTGGGGGGCCTACCTCTATGTCCCATTCAGAATCCGACTGGATAGCGGGCAACGCAATGGTGGCTAGAGGCCAGTTAAACTATTCCTCGAAGTGTTCTACCCATCGTTCCAGCCGTCTCCCCTGCGAGTGAATCGCAGATGCGTCCTTCTCCGCTATAGCTTCACCAACTGCTGTTGACCTTTCCCCCCCAGTTTCCTTAATAAGTCTAAATAACTGTCTACTGTTACCAATCGCCGCTGCCTTTCCCATCTCTAGCCTCCACTGCCCACCGCTTTTTTCACGTAGACTTTTTCTCAATCTACTTTTAAGTTGCGCTCCCTCTTCATTGTACTCAGAGCCTGTAGGGATGCGTTCACGTGCATCCATTAGTTCGGAACAAGCTGCTGGTATCAACTGGCTCTTCCTAGTCACTCTTTCGGAGTCGGCTACGGTCTTCAGTGCTGCTTTGACAGCAGACTGAAGATGGCACCAGGCTTTTTCTGGATGAGTGACAGTCTCTCGTTCCGATAACTGTCTAGCCAACTTCTCACTGAACGCGGCCTTGGTGTTTTCGTTGTTCAGCAGTGTTCGTAGTGGTTTTGTTGCCAAATTTTTCCTACGTCCATTGAGACGCAGGCATATACGCGCTCGGACCAACGCATGGTCGCCATACAAGCATGTACTCCAGAAGGAGAGGCAGTCTTCTACCGATCCTCTCCAGCGAGGACTAACGGCAATGTGGTCAATCTGTGTCCATCGCTGAGTTGAGCTCGGTGGATGCCAAGTGAGACAGTGTCTTTCTTTGTCTGAAATTTGTGTTAGCTAAAACTAAGCGGTTATCTGAGCACAATTGTAGTAGGCGATCACCGTTATCTGTCCGTTCAGCCGAGATTGCGAAAGTGCCACCGAAGTGCCTTTCTGCCTCACTCTGTCTACCCACCTGTGTTGAAATCACCTGCAACAACCACCGCGTCCGAACTTTTCGCTTTCTAGAGGAGATTTCAGGTGAATAACCGCACTTGGGTCCTGTATGTGTGTCTCACAAACACAGCCCGAGTTGCTACAGTCTTTGCCAATGAAGCCTGTTGACCAACTTGACGAAGGGTGTGGACCCTGACGACTCCAATATGTAATTTGGAGGGTGGTTTGAGGAGACCAAGGATGCTGTTTTGTGGACTCAGATCGTTGTCGAAGGCTGCAGAGCTACGAGAAATCGAAGATGATGTAGTATTGTTAATTGAGAGATGTGAAGGAAAATTGGAAGGTAATGATGAGGGAGGTGGAGAGAAGTCTGAGGAAACTTGAGTGCCGGTAGAGTTGTGAAGGCGGTTGACACTTCCCGGCTGTCCACACCGTGAAACGCTATTTCTCTTTAAGGTCCCTGAAAGAGATTTGTGCAACCCCAGAGCCCATCGGATATCTGCTTGAGGCCTGTCCCACGCAGCCTTTTATGTGTGGTAGTTTTGAACTTGTGTTGTTTTGGGGCCGGATGGTCGAAAGGAAACGATAAATGAACCAACACAGCCGGCCCGGTAGACCGTGGGGTATGGTGGAGTGTGTTATTTTTGGGCCGACCTTTTCTAACTCCCCTTCCGCTGAGAAGGCAGCGTCAACACGGCACTGTAAGCCATCCAAGAGAAACAACTTACAGCTGTCACACCTCATCCAGCTAGCAGCAGTACGACTTCGCCCTCAGACCCCTATCATAGTGTAGTAATTTACACCACAACGGTAACTGCTTTTCGTTTAACCACTATCCAACAGACCTTTTGGCATGGTAGGACCTCGAGGGGACAAGTGTTTCACCATCATAGCTCGTTGGGTTATTGTGATATGCAAGCCTGACCACCACGTCAAGGTAGCAGCTACCGGTGGGGCAACACCATGCAAAGAACAAATCAGTAGAAAAGAACCATATCAAAGTAGACAAGTGGATTGGAAAAGACAATATTTGAAAAATCAAGACAAAGCAGAATGTCCAGACTTCCAAAGATGTCAGACCGAATGCATCTGGGCTGTTGCGATTGACAGACATACAGATAAATCAAAGTAGAACCTGGCACATAAGTGGATCGGTCTAAGCTGCCACAATTTACAGTAGCATGCAAAGAGAAAATGACTTCAAATTATGTATGTAGGTATACTTCTAAACACTGCGAATAATGAATGCGCTAAAATATAGTTAAAATAACAGAAACAAAACTGGAAATGTGGACTGAAAACGCTGGTAACATCTGCAGATGCATGAGAACTTTAAGTCAGTGTAGGAGATTTTGTAGGTGGTGGCGTGGAAAATAACTTGTGAGGCGAGGAAGAGGTCTCATGATGAGTATAAATTCTAAATCTAATGGATGCATTCAAACGACTGACACTTTCTGGTTGCCTCTGCCTTCGACCTTATCAACTTCGGGTACTGCTATAGAGCGCAACCTTTATATTCATTTCCAAAATATACATTGTTACCAAGACACTAATGTCACAAACTTTCAATATACTAGCACAATGAACACAAAAATAAACGTCAAATATTCAGTACTTACCCGAAAACTGTTACCCAACAATCGTTTGGATTTGCACTATCAATATCGTTAGAACTAAAGGGGGGAAAATAAACAGTATAAAAAGTGAAGACTGGAGATAACACGAATAACTCAAACTTCTTGACGGTGTCGGTAACTGGTTATCCGGATACTAGTGAATGAGTCTACAATTACTCAAACGAAGTTGATAGTTACTGATTTCAGTGTATAGCGCTATTCCACTCTCTAACTTTCCATGCATTACTTCTACCAAGTGGTAGCTACCCTATGTCTATTATCTGTGTCAATTACAAAACCTTAGCAGAAAACCCATTTCTAAGAAATTACTGTACTTCAGGTGAATGTTAACCATAATCAAATTAAGGTCAACACAGTCAATACTCTTGATGAGAAATATTTGTCGTAGGAAGTTTAAATAGCCGTTCGCAGCAGTCTACCACATGACTGCAGAGAGAAAGAGATAACGTCGCAGTGAAGTTAGATAATTCCAGTTGCCACACTACAAAGCGGCATACAAAGAAGATGATTGAACAAGGAATCCCATTTAAGTAGACAGAAGTGTATGAAAGAAGAAACAAATGAATGAAATTTAAGTAAAACTATCAGTCTTTCCTCACGAATCAGAATAACTGGCATCTGATCACAACAACAGTGTAAATAGTACACAGAGCGCCTGATTCAGCTAAAAATCAATAGAATCGCAAGTGAACAACAAATAAGCAAACTGTAAATCTGAGCGATTCACTTACCTTTGATGTGTAAACAGTGCTTCAGCCAAACGATCAGGAGTTAAAAGACCATCTTGTTTGTTTGCATTACCATCGTTTGGATTTAAAACGACACTGTTGTTATGAAGCGGTGATCCAATTAAAGGTGTTGTCTTATTTACAATATTATGGAGGGGGTTACGATGATAACTTGGTTCAGCAGGTGATTGAAAAGGGCTAGCAACACCCAACCTTTTAACTGATGGGTTAACTGATGCACCAGTAGAGTAATTTGGTGTGCTATGCTTTAATCCTCCAAGACTGTCTACAGTATTGTTTGCACGAACACCAGTGCCACTAACAGTCGACCACATACTTCGTGTTGGAGGAGATGTAAGACGACGCCCAACCGATTCACCTGTTTGACTTAGACATCTTGGTTGCAGCTTATTCCCACTATGCAGAGGAACCTGAAAAATTATTGTAATATGTATATGAGATGAATTATCGCTCAAAAAGGGTAAAGCACCTATATTTATATTCTAACTCCTCATGATTAGTACACCTTAACCCAGTGCAAATGTATGCTTTTGTCTACGAACCACACTTAATGTGTGTATGAAGACGCTGACAAAATGCAGAATTCTCTAAACTACTTGAGCAAAAATATGAATGTTTGGCATGAATTTCGCACCTGTTACATATAAGATGATGCTTCAGGACTGTTCTGCGCAAACTCCCAGTCTACGGATACAGAGAGGTGGTGGAATGAGTTGATCACTCCACTTACTTGGCAAGCTTCATCATTCCAAATGGTCTGGATGCTGATCGAACCTCAGCCTCAATTCGCAAGGGATGTTTAGTATTTGCACAATTACGCCATCCCTGGAGCCGGATGGTGAGATATCCGACTACTTGTAAAATGACCTGCAAACCACACAGCAGTCCGCTCTTTTCTGTTATACAGTTGTGAAACTTGGCTGTTAAAAACCAATGACATACGTATCGTGGAATCACCATGCTAGCAATGAATAAGGACAGCAAATTAGCCGATTATGTGAACTTTAACCGATTGAGATAACTTGGACATATGTTGGGCATATCAAGCCACCACCTACCTCAACCTGCAATGTTATCCAAGGAAGGATTATGTTGGGAGAATGCTAAGGGTGACCAGACTCAGACTTGACACCAATCCAGGAAGTCTCTAATTGCTGGTCTGAGTAGATTAGGGAGGTGTAGACTGCCTTGCTGGAGTACCATAGATGACATGAACCAATGACTGGCGACTCTTCGTGACGCCTGAAGGATAAGATATGAAGCGTTTACAAGTTTTCGATCACGTGCTTTTATAGCATTGCTCGCATATGGTGGAATCACCATATGAGAAATAATGAAATCGGGAGAAGGATTCTAGTGAAGGAAGGCAAGTCGGACAATCAGGTTTTGAACCCTAATTGTCTGAGGTGTCCTGAAGATGTGCTGTGTAGGCCTAGCCACCGTTCACACCTTGATATGCCAAGATAGGGGAAGTTGGATTAATTTGGGAGAGGGTTCAGCGTGACCGGACTAAGACGTGGCATTAGTCCATGAAGTCCCCGACTGTTGGTCCGAGCCATATAAGGAGGTGCAGACTACTTGGCCGCAGCACCTAAGAAGATGGGAATTAGTGGTTGAGAATTCTTGGTGGAATGGATTCCCTCTTTGACGTCTCCGAAAGCACTAATGTTTTGATTAACCGCATTTTTTAAAGTGTCGCATTGATGCTGCTTTACCTGTGGGAGAGAAGTTAGAAAAGGACGGCCCCACAAGTAGCACACTCCTACACCCTCGCGGCATGTCGATGTCTGCAACAGGGATTCATAGTTAGATTCAAAACCAAAATCTCGAAATTGCCTAAAGGCCGTGTGTGACAGGCTTCAGGCAGATATCCCTTGGGTTCTGCAGTCACACACTATCCAAGAAGAACTAGCTTTTCATGGTGTGGGCAGCCGAGAAGTCTCAGCGGCCGGACAAATCCAGAAGTATACAAGACCCAATGAAACACAACCTATCCTTTTCAACTGTCTCCTCCTTTGGCTTCACCTCCGGATACTAACAATAAGGCTCTTACACTTTCCTCAACCCCTTATTCTGCAAATATTCCTAATCATCACAACAATGGAAACCTCATTTCCAGTCTCCTTAGACCCTGTCACTGAACTTCTAAATGAATGAGGTTGCTGTGTTTCGACGTATCTAAGCGGCTTCGCACCGAAAGCAAACAGTATTTTCATCGTCGAGTTCAGCTTGGAATGGTTTGTTCGTCGAATTTTTCCCACGCCTCTATACGATCGGACATAAGGAAGCCCAAACCAATGTGATCGTTGTGCAAACACATGCTCCAGAAGAAGCGACAACCTACTACTGACCTACACCAGCGACAAATGATAGTAACATGGTCTATGTCCACCTCTGAGTTGAGGCTGATGGACACCATGTCAGACAACGTCTCCTCTTGCTTTTAAAGTCCATGCTGTTCAGAAATAGATGGGTGCCTGAGCACAGTTATTGGAGGTGATCGCTGTTATGCGTTCGGCTTGCTGGGGTTCCGAAAGTGCTATTTTGTCTGACTTAGCCTACCGACCACTGCATTCAAATCACGCGCTATGACAACCATGTCTGAACGATTGGCTTTCAGCTGGAGGCTAGACAGTTTTCCGTAGAACTAACCTTCCAATTTACCCCAGCTGCAATCACTGGAGGCACAAGATATAACAATGAAAACGCGATTTTTATAGTTCATCTTAGTCCTAACTACATCGTACAGCGAAAAAGCGCACAGGCGACTATTAATTGGGATCCACTTGAACAGTACACTTTCTGCTTTAGCAATCAATGTTATAGCCAAACCTGCAACATCACAATAGCTAGCCATCGAATCTCTAGAAACTCGAAGGATGAATTCCGTAGATTCACCATATTGGCCACGTGAGGTTACAAAAAGATGTCAAGATGTTTGAAACCGCATTGGTAGTTAGACTTTTCAGCCTCTTCTCTATACCAAAATATTTTAGTATATTTACTTTATGCTCATTCTCATACTTATATTGATTATCTTTTCATGATTCTCGTGTTTGCTATCACGATAATTTCATCTCATTCATTTGTCACTTTGTTAGGATGACACTTTCTTATGATTACGCAACTGCTTTCTATGTACTTTTAGTCTTGTTGCACTCATTTGTGAACATTTCTCACTTTACCTAATATAACATTTGTCCAGTATGAGTGAATATATTACCTAAACGTCTTTTGTGTTTTGAATTGTAATGCTTTCTTGATATTTAAAACATTAACCAGGTGTATTAAAAGGCGTTAGTACTTTTATAGTGACTAGTCACTAATTTATTCAGGTTGCACGTAGCTGACGAAAATTCTATGGAATAAAATGACATCATGTCGTTCTGCAAGTGTTGTTCTACTTGAGTTATTCAAGTTCATTAGGGAGAATAAATGCATGAAATGTCAAAAACGATAGATGATGTATGTAAGCATCAATATCACCGTGACCAATTTTGATTCAAGATTCTTCAATCACTGAATACTAACACTTCAAATCTTCAGTGTATCGGGCATTCCATACATCCTCATACCAACAATCAAATACATTTTGAACTGGTATCAACTGGTTAGGCTAAATTTGGCTTCCTTTGAACCTAATTCCACTTCAGCTAACACTTCACGTACCAGCTGTTTAAAACCTAATAGACAGTGAAGATCCCAAGCCTCATTCACTAACTTACCCAGGACTTTACAACCTGTGGTTCCATAACACGTAAACTATAACGAAAAAAATAAATGCACCCAGCAACTATGTGCTGGTTTGTACAGCGACCTATAAGCTGAATCTACTGCAGTGGCTAACAATGCTGTCCAACCGCTCAAAACTTGGTAAGTGAAATACTCTTCAAACGTATGACCTACTAATTGATGGTCGAGTTCCTAAACTAATGAGCTTCAACTCCTGTACTGAGGTTAGCAGTGATACAAAGATATCCGTGGTCAAAAACCTATAACCTCACCATGCCTTCTAATTTTAGGGATCACATTTCACAGCTGTAGAGGAAAACGAAGCAAACTGCTGAACAACATTCAATTTGATGTGACAAGATACCCAGCCCGCACCAGAGATGGTATGCGTTAGAATATATGCCATATTTCTTAAAATCGCCGGTTGTTTTGGACTTTGATCAGTTACCCAATAATCCTTCACGCGGCCCAATGAAATAGTTTTGAAAGTAGCAATACTCGGTTTTTATCAAATCTAATCCTACTCAAGGTGACGCTGTGTCATAATAAGCGATAAGTCGTTACACTGAACACATTTCTTGATGAATTCAGTAAATGCAGGATCAGCCTAACTTCCCTGTAGATAACTCTACGCCTACCCTCTAAACAGAATATATGAAAGTGATCCAATACGAAAACGGATGCTACATTTCAGATATGGTCGAATCTTTGGAAAACAATAGACCTGTAAATATTAGTAATCAGGAATCCGAAAAAGTTATATGCAAGTATACAGAAGTCAACTCCATTAATAACAATTAAACTTACTGGCATGTTGTGTGAGTTCCCACATAGAGGGGAAACAGGATTTTGACGCGAAACTTTAGATTCTGTAAACGGATTGGTTGCAACTGGGTTTACAACCAGTGGATTTTCATTCATAAGAAATCCTGGGAGATACTGGTAAGCACCTGGAGAATTGTTTGAACTCGGAGGTGAGCCTAGATTCATTGGCTCAGTATGGTTGAAACTGACTCCATTCATTATTCCTCCTGAAAAAAAGAACACAGTTAAGCCATTTTGATTTGGTAATTCCACGACAGTGATTCAATACAGCCAACTGATACACAGAAGATGGTTATGTAGACCACTTATAGTGAATTTCCTACAACACTAAGCACTGTCCTGCTTGGTTTTGTAGGAGGGATTTGGGTCAACCAGAGACAACATCCGAACTATACGTTCAACTTCTTTGTAGTATTCATGAGTATTTCACTGACTAGTTTTTCACTTTATTATCTTCATTACTGCTAGACGTACTGCCATTTAAAACCCTTCCACTTCATGCAATAATTCTTAATATCTCAATTCAATCACTGTGCATTCATAGATGCCGTTGCATCAATACCTTAGGTGTTCTAACCTTCATTTTGTCAAGGATGGAAATTTCATGGCAACATTTAAATGAAATACAGGGAGGAATCAACTTCGAACACCATTTTATAGAGCATGAAAACCCCATCCATATTGGGATGCTTGGCTTCTTTTTAAGGCTTACAACTGCTAATCATGACCTACCACGTGATATTTAGCGATCAGTTTCCGTGCACCGTTGCTCAGATGGTTATGAAATTACCTAAATAATTTGTCCCATTTAGTAAGAGTTTACTAATCTCTGGTCGGATACCTGTAGCTGCTAAGTGGGATGGTTCAAGATTTTCATCTTAGACTATTACTCTTCGTCCCACTCATGTAGTCCAGCTCCTTCGACTTTATAGTTGCTGTTAAGTGCAGATGATTGGCAAGTTTGAGAGGGGACTTATGAGCTTAGAGATGCCACGGTCAAAAGAGTTATGCTAATGTGAATAGGTGTTCACTGATCTCGTACCATGATCAAATGATCTGTTGGATAGTGGTAGAACAAAAATCAATTACCCTTTTAGCTTGGACAGCTAAGCTATGATGAAAGTTTAAGGAAAAGCCATACAGCTATCTGGATGGGGCAACAGCAGCAAATTGTTTTCCGACAACGATCAATTGCGAGGAAAGGCTACGGGAATTCTTAAGATCTACGTTGTTCCGCATGCCTAGAGGGAAATTCTGAGGAAAGACACAATTTCGAGGAAGGTTGACACTGAAGAAAGTGGGGAGTAATAGTCATATTTGCTTCAGAGAACTAACATTAGCTTTCCTCAAAATATCTTCATCCTTAGTAATGATCAGACTGGGCATCAGGAATACGTGTAAGGTTGGGCAAAACGGTACCTACGTCACCAATCAAGATAAAGAAGACCAGGGACAGACCTTTTAGATCCTACGATAAAAGAAACGTTTATTCCTGCTAGTTGCTGCAGCGACTATGTACAACAAAGAGTATCGGTAGGCCGTTTATTAAATGTTTTATAACGTGGCCGTATTGCAAAACTATAGAATGTAATCTTAGATAAAACCGAGAATGAAACCCGAATGACACAGTGAAAACACCCAGAACCTTGAAGTCTGGAAGAATATTTCAAAACTAACTTCCAGCCGGACTTCAAAAACGTTGCGCACTATCCATGACCTCCAAGGACCAAGGTCCCTGAGTGGCATTATCTCTCAGTTAAGTGAATAAAAGCAGGAGTATTGTGTGCGCAGCACCCATAGACTGCAGTGCGGGGTTATACGAAAAAAACCTACATCCATTAAGGTTGATCGTAAGAGTTCCAATATCCAATATTGATAGTGCGAGCGTAGAAAACTAGTAGTTTTTGATCTCTCGCGTCTAGTTCTTAGGGCTTGGTTCCAGTTGTTCGGTTCACTCCTGCAGTGGACGAGGAAATCCCCTCTGCTTTCTTGCTTTTAGCTTCGGTGAGGTGGATGTTTTGTGGGTTAGTAGGTTGTAATTTGTAGAGTGATTAGGGAGCTACGGGCTGCTGGGAAGTTTAGAGAACAACCGTGACTCCTGTCTGTGTAGGTACCTGAAAGAGAATATTAAGGTAGTGGTAAAGGAATGAAGAGAGAAGTAAGGAAGAGTAAAAAAAAAAAATAAATAAATAAAATAAAAAAAAAATAAAAAAAAATAAAAAAAATAAATAAATAAAATTAAAAATAAAAATAATAGTAATAATAATGTAGGGAAGAGGAAAGGGAAGGAGAATAAAAGAAGGGGTGAAGAGAGAAATGAGAACGAAAGAAAAGTATTTGGGAATTGCCCGAATGGTCGCGTGGGTTTGGTTCCTACAGAAGAATTAGTAGGTAATGTGGGTGTATTAAGGAGAGAGATAGTGAGTGGTAGTTAGGAGGGAGTTGGGGGTACTGAGGTTGGTGACTACCTGAGTACGTCCGTGGTAGTCCATGCGAGGTGACATAACTGTCTAATCGCCTCTTGAAAGAGTCGATTGAAGGAGCTATAACGATGTGTCGCGGTAAGGCATTCCATAAAGCACATACTCTCAGGGAGAAAAATTTGGACCTGAGTGTGGTGTTGGCTCTCTGGTGTGCTATCTTAAAGGGGTTTCCTCGTGAAGATCGTTCAGTTGCAGGCAAAATTGATTTGTTTGCATGGTCTGCCTGATGGGCGATCTTGTATGCCATAATGAGGTCACCCCTTTTCCTGCGATAACCCAAGGTAAATAGGTTGAGGTGTTTAAGTCTTTCAGGATACGTCTTTCCCCTTAGCCCCACAACTGATTTTGTTGCAGTTCTTTGTATTCTTTCAAGGAGATTAGAGTCTCTCTTGAGTGTTGGAGGAGCCACCGTATTGAAGACCTCTAGGTGCGGCCGCACGTAGGATTTGAAAATGGTAAGGAAGAGTTCGGGAGTGAGGGCGCCAAGCTGTCTACGCAGAAAGTGTAGAATGGCGTTCGCTCTGGTTGTCATACCTTTGTAGTTGGAGCTGGTGTCCAAGGTGTCGGAGAAGTTGAGCCCCAAATCTTTCTCCATGGACACTCTGGTGATAGCACGGTTGCTCAACATGTACTGGAAGTCGGTCGTACTTGCCTCATTTTTACTGATGTGCATTACTTTGCACTTTTCCAGTTGAAGCTCAGACCATTTTCCGACGACCAGAGCTCGAGTTGCTGCAAGTCCTTTTGTAGTGCTGCACAGTCGGCTTCTTCGTTTACCACCCTCCAAATTTTTATGTCGTCAGCGAAGAGGAGGATGGGTGAGGATATTTTGTCTGGCAGATCGTTGACAAAGAGGAGGAACAGAAGCGGTCCTAGGATTGCTCCTTGGGATACTCCTGACGTCGACGGTCTCCACTCCGACCTTATTCTGTTCACTTTAGTGCAGAACTGCCTCCCTTCCAGGTACTCCTTGAACCAAGAGAGTAGGGGTCCACTTATACCAGCTGACATGATCTTGTGAAGCAGTACTGTGGGTGGGACACTGTCAAATGCTTTGGCTAGGTCGAGAAATACAGCATGTACAGGTTTTCTATTATCCCAGCTTTGTGTCCAGTCGTCCCAGGCAGTTAGTAAGTTGGTGGCACATGAGCGACCACTACGAAAGCCGTGCTGAGCAGTGTGGACAGTGTTTTCTCTATTGAGGAATTCCCAGATGGTGTCAGCTACCAGGCTTTCCAACACTTTCGACACAATAGGGAGTAGGGCAATCGGCCTGTAGCTGCCAGGGTTTTTTCTGTCTCCTCCCTTGAAGATGGGTGACAAGATGGCACTCTTCCATTCTTTAGGGAGTTTGCACGAGTCTATTGAGTGCTCAAAGAGGTTGCGAAGTGGTTTGGTAAGCACCTCGGCGCAGTTTTTCAGAACCACTGGTTTCAGATTATCGCAGCCAGGGGACTTGCCCGGACGTAGCCTAGATAGCTTCTCGAACACCTTTTTCTCTGTAATAGAGACGTGACAGAGGTATTCGTTATTTGCGACCTGGTCGGTGTCGTGGCGAGTCGGTGTGGATCTTGTGTCAGTGCTGAGTTGGGCTTGGAAGTGTGAGCTCAAAAGCTCGGCAATCTCTAGACTGCTTAGCACACTCCCGTCATGGCCTGTGACAAGATTCACTCCCTTACTGGTCGACTTTCTTCTTGACATGAAGCGGTACAGGTTTTTGGGGTTGCTTTGTAACCTCGCTGCCAAGTTTGTTTGGTAGGAAAATCTGTCGTTACGCACTCTAATGTTACAGAGATTGCGAATCCTTTTATAGTTCAAGAAGTCAGACTCCCTGCGTGATGTAAGCCACTTGAACCAAGCCTGCTTCTTGCTCCGGATAAGCCTCTCTGTCCCACGCTTTAACCATGAGGTTCTCATTGATTGTCTGTGTGTTACTTCTGGTACACTGTGACTGATGGCCCCAGTGATTATTTTCTTCACCTCCAACCAGTGTTCATCTATTGTGAGATGAGTCCAGTCCACTGGCCATGATGCATTCATGAGGTAGTCCCTCATGGTCTCATAGTTGGCCTTGCTGTAGCAAGGGAAGGTGTTGGGCGTCTCCAGTTGCAGAGCCTCCCTAGTTATCATGGAGAAGGTGATTACAGCGTGGTCACTGAGGCCAAGGGGAGGTTGGATGCAAACATCCTCAATGAGAAGTTCATCGTTCGTCAGAACGTAGTCAAGGCGCGATGCGTTTCCGTTAGGTCCCCAGCGTGTAGCATCACCCACTTTCTCTGAGAGGCCAGCAGTCTTAATTGCATCCTTCAGCTTCTGATTGAAGGATCTGATGCGTCTCCCTTCCGTCTCGAAGAGGATGGACGGGGTGTTGAAGTCGCCGGCAATGACTACGGAATCGTAATTTGCAGAGGAAGTCGTTAAGATAGCCTTGATGATCATTTCCTTATGTGTAGGGGAGCAGGTGGGGGACCGATATATGACTCCGAGCAAATATTTGGTACTGTGGAGAGTGAAGTAGCACCATAGGGACTCTGGGACCTGGGTTAAGGCCGTATCGCTAACCATCCTTGCCTTTAAACAAGAGTTTACGTAGATAGCCACTCCTCCTCCTGCTCTATGTTCCCTGTCCCTGCGGAAGAGTTCCATGCCAGTAACATGCATCTCTTCGTCGGAGATGTCTGGCGAGAGCCAGGATTCGGTGATGAATATGATGTCGGAGTGCTGATGTGCACGCAGCGTCCTCATTTCTGCTACCTTCCCTCTTAGCCCCCTAACGTTGCTGTACATACATATTAGAGTGTGCCTGGTGAGGGGGAGGTCTGGTTGTGTATTTTCGCAGGATGACAGCTTATGTGGTTGGGTCTACCCTCGCCAGTCCTCATAGGACTGGCATTGTTCCGTTTTTTGGTGTTTTGTTATTAACTTGGGTGGGGGCTGTGGCAGTGGTAGCTTCTTTACTTGATGTATCTAACTCACTGGTCAGCGCCTGTGTGACGACCACTGACTCCAGGGTCTTGGTGGTTGTCGTCTCTCCTCTTGCCTTGTGGGTCTAGGCTTACTTTCACATATACGTATTGAGCCACCCATGCGATCCTTCGCATTATACCATGCCTGTAGAACGTCTGTGAGGGAGGCATGTGAGTCGAACTGGACGGCGAGTAGTCTGGGATTGGGTATGGTCTTCAGGTGCGCTGGCCTTGGCAGTCTACTGACGCTGTTGGCCGGTATACTGTTGAGACCAACTTTGGTTGAGAGCCATTGCCATTGTTGGACGTCGTGAAAGTACCGATCTTTGACCGAGCGGTCACTTGGCAATTCTGGAATCCCATGTACAACTATAGTGTTGTTTCTGTTGGGATTTCCAACCGCTGACTTTCTCTCCTCCTCTCTTATTGACCATGGCTTGTCAGGCCTGGCCCGAATTTTACAGGCATTAACAACGTCCGGTTGTCGCGAGAGGAGGAGTGTGTCTTCAGCCTCTTTGGTAGTATTTAGGGACACACGTAGAGGGGGTGGCTTATCTCGGGGTGCACGGCTTCCTCGAGAAAGGCGACATAAAGTTGCAGGGAGGGGAGGGAGTCCTAGCATCTGACAGTAGTCGGTCCACATTCGGCTGTCAAACCGTTCCCTCTCGACCAACAATGAGTCTGTCGATACATCGACGTTGAACAAAATGATCGAGTTGGTCCTCCTGTGACCTGGGTTCGTTGTGGGTGGCACGCTTGACTTCCCAATGGGTTTGAGTAATTCCACTGGTTGTTTCTCAGTCACGGTGTGTAAGGTGTTTGGAATGGGTTTCGTAGAGGCTTTAGCGGTCGATGTCTTTGGCCATACGCTTGACGTCCCCTGGGGCCGGGTAGGAGGTATGGAGACTTGACCTAATATGGTCCCCACGCGAGGTGGCGTGCCCACAGCTGGAGCTCTAGGTCTGTTTCCAGGTCTCTGTATGTTATCTTTTGGTGTTAACCCTACTTTATTCGAGGGTGCTGGTAGCTTTTGCGTGGCGGAGAGCATCTCCTTCAGGCTTTCTGTGCGCAGTGCGGGCATTTTCCTGCACTCTGGACAGATGTACCAGAACCACTTGCATGGTTGTCTCTTCATCAACTTATAGTATTGTCGGGGGACTTTGGTGTCGCAGTGACAATGCGCCCATCGTTGACATAGGTTGCATGCAAATGCCTCATCGACTACCGAAACAACTTTGGTGCAAACACTGCAGCCATCGGGTGTCGTAATACAGCATTCCTTGCATGAATTAGGTGCTACGGATTGTGACGAACTGCCTGTGGCTGCCTTGTGCTGAAGCCTTTTACGTCGTCTTCTATTTC